GGCATGCAAGGCGAGGACCTTAACCACTTGCGCCACCACACCAGGCCCAAGATGAAAATTTTTAAGCATTGTCTTAAAAAATAATGGGAAAGATGCCTTCATCAGCTTCGCTGTCATCAGCAATTTCTCTGCCCCAAAGTGCGTGCATGCAACCTTTTCTTCCAGATGAGATTAGCTGTCCCTCTCACTGCATTCCGGACTGCGGCTTTCACAGGAGGCGCAGGTTATCCAGAAAACACACCCCAGGCCTGGGCCTTTCTGCCAGAACCCAGGACAAATACTGAGGCTCTTTAATTACCATGATCTCTAGCCACTCAACTTCCACCCACCAAGGGTATGAGAGAAGTGGGAGAAGGACAGCAAGGATCATCATCTTGGCCCAATCACACATCTCCTTCCAGTTGTCGCCTTAATTTTCAAACCAGAAGACATTAGACATTAATGGAGCAGTCCCACTCATCCCATCAATCCATCCCCCTAAATAGACAAAGCTGTTCAGCTCAAAGAAAGATGTATTTGCTTAAACCAGAGACCATATTATTAGTTCTCATGCATAATTATAGGTAGCACACTCACCAATTTCAAAATCGCCCTAGGGTTGAGCCTTTCTTAACAGGAAAGGCCTCTCCCTTCTTGGGGCCTCTCAGAGACAGCAAGCATAACAGCCAAGGAGAAGTGGGAGGAAAAGCCAAGTGCTGAAAAGAAGGCATCAGAGTGCCAAAGACCTGGCTGTAACGCCATCAGAAACTGTAAGTTTGCTGGTGAGGGAGATGGCTCATGTTCCCCTCCCAGCCCTGCGTGCAGTTTAACCCCAGTGCTGGAGGACAGCAAGGGAGTTGGTAGAAGACACATCGAAACCAGTCAGCAGGTGATGCTCGGATGGGGCTTCAGGAGGGCTGTGATTGTGGAGGTTCTTGGCAGCGAGGGAGCTCTCAGTTCCACGGCTGGGACCCTCCCTTCCCCAGATAGTGGCAAACAAGGCACAGAGGCAGGCAGAGCATCGGGTAGCACTGGCTGTGGTTTCTGGGCTGATCTCCTTGAACTAAGAACACTGATAACACCTCTGTGACTGATAAGTAAGACAGGGAAAGCAACCTGATATCTGTTGAGATTCTACAGTGCAGATAGGGTTGGAGGTGGAGTGGGAGGGAGGCCTACAGGAAGCTTGATGACTAGGGCTGGCCTCGTGACATAGCATGTTAAGTGATTGCTTGGTCCTCAGCCTCCCAAAGAGGTGGGTTTAAGTCCCAGCTGCCATGCTTCCAGAATGATCCAGCTCCCTGCTAATGTACCAAGGAAAGCAGTGGAAGATGGCACAAGTGCTTAGGCCCTTACCACTCACATGCAGTTCTGAGCTCCTGGCTTCATTCTGGGCCAGGCCAACAAAAGGACAGGCCATTTGCTCTGCTTTTCAAATAAGCCTTTTATCTCTTCTCCCCTGCTCCCTTAGGAAGCTTGATAGGTTGAGGCAGGCCTCGAGAAATCGTTGTCCTACCAAAGTAGAAGTGCTTTAATCACATGGGAAGCTAGACTCTGCTGCTGCAATAGCTTGCCTGGATGAGCAATGCTAAACGTCTCACAAAACACACTCTCCTGATTTCATTTAACACTGTCCTTAAAGGAGCAAGAGGCTGGGCCAGTACTAGTGGGATGAGAGTGAAATTTTGCAGTGAAATTCATAATAAAAAACGGTTTCTGCTTTCAGAGCCAACAGCTTCTCCATCACTGTGGCTGCAGGCCCATCACTGTATCCTAGCAGGATTAATTCGCAGAGAATAGAGTTGTTTTCCTGATGGAAGCACTCAGCCCTGATTGGAAAGAGAAGATTAATTTTTTCCCCCCTGATGTAGCTTAGAAACCCAAAGATATCTTTGGACACACATTTTCTCAATTTTCCTTTCCATTTTCTCAACCAGAATTTAACATTTGGGCTCATTCTCTTTCCTTTGCCTTTCTACTTTATATGCCTGGTATGCCTTAATGAGATACCTACTGTGTGCAGTGCCCCATCTTACGATGGCTTCACAAACCCTTCTTTTCTTCTCTCTCTTTCCTATTTTATTTGAAAGGCAGTGAAGTAGAGAGAAAGAGAAACAGATCTTCCAGCTACTGGCTTCATCTCCAAATACCTGCAATAGCCCAGGCTGAACCAGGCCAGAATTCAGTCTGGGTCTCTCCCAAGGCTGGCAGGGAACTTGCACTTGAGCCATCGTCTGCTGCCTTCCAGGATGTGTCCTGGCAGGAAGCTGGAGATAGAAGCAGAGCTGGGACGCAGATCCAACCACTCTGACATGGCATACAGGTGTCTGGTAGCATCTGAATGGTGCCAAACTTCTGCCCCATAAACCCACATGTATTATTATTATTATCTGCTATCTTCTCAAACCTTTGAATAGTAAACTGTGAAATATTTCTCTCTTCATCCATGTGCCACTATTTTTCAAGACATTCGTTTTGCTTCTTCTTGTTACTTTTCAAGTGGGGGAATTGGGATTCCCCATATTTCAAGCTATTTGTGAAAGAGAAAAAGCAGGTGATTCCGAGGAAGCAAGAACACGTGAATATCCTTTCATGGAGAAACTGCAGTCATGGTCTCCGACGTGGCTAGGCTTATGCTTTCTGTCGGTTATTTCTCTGTGGTGTGCAGGACACGGAGTGGCAGTGAGTTATGCAAATAGCAGGTAATTGCTCCCACCTGTCACTGTGCTACTGTGCAGGGCCAAGAACAGTCCCCTGACCACTGGTTCCTTTTGATGCTTGTGTGTGGATGTCGCTGCCACCTGGAGCCTGGTCACTGAGGCGGCTGGCTTGGTGCCTTGGTCAACACAAGCCGGCTGTGACTGCCACCTGAGCAACGGGTTGTGTGTATGAAAGTCCACATTTGTGCTTCTGCACAGCAAAGAGGCTGCAACACCAGAAAGCAGAAGGCGGGCAACTACATACACAGCATCACAGAATCATCTCATCCGGGACATCTCGAAGAGTTAAGCAGTAGCTATTCTCTTCATAGGGGATTCAGGACAGGAAGTTGTGTCATTTTGTGTATGTCCCTGGTCTCTCATCTAATCATCTTGGTCTGTGAATTCCTAGCAGTCTGCATTTATATTTCTCGTTAGCAGTGCAACTTTGAGACTTTCTTACATTGGATAAATAGAATGTTAGGGGTTCACTTCTGGCTGTGTGTCCGTCCAGAAGCGGGGCAGGCTGACTGGGGCTGGACACACAGGTTGGAATTTCTCTGCTGTTGCTGTAGCTGTGTCACCTTGGCAGATTGCTGGTCTTCTTTGAGTCTAGTTTCCTCACAGGATGCTGCGAGATTGCGTAAGGGAATACTTGAGGAGAATTCAGCGCAGGCCCTGGCCCGGAGGCCCAATAAGCGTTAGATGTGATTTATGTTTGCTGTCAGTTGAATGCCTAAGAGATTTCAGTTGCATTGGTTTTTCTCCATTTTCTGGAATGCTCAGTCTAACAGAACCAAGTTCCTGTGAGGTTTTACCTTCTTCCTCCCTATGGCTTTTCAACACTCTTCTTAACCCAGGAAATGATGATCGTAAAATAGCCATCCATATGGGAGCCTGCTTTGTGCTCAGGTCCACTGGGGAAAGGTTCCGCTCACCAGCGTGTTGTGGGTGCTTGCAAGCTGCTGGCTTCTGAGAAGCAAAGGGCAGCGTGCAGATCTCAGGAGTGGAGATGGGTGTCCCCTTTGAATGACCCACTGCCTCTGGAGCCAGCCCTCTTTCTAGCACCTTAAGGGGGCTCTGGGGTATGGGATTCCAAGCTACTTGTTTCTTCAGCTGTGGGCTGCTGGAGAGCATGCAACATAGTGCCCTTAGCATTCAGATGGTTCTCACGTGCCATGCTTCTCTGCAGCCTTGTTAGAGCCAGCTGTCTCTGGCACACACAGGAGACTGAGTGGAGACCCTGGCAGCACCTGGAGAGGTGACAGGAGGGCAGCACCTCCTCCTAGGAGCCAGCCCTGGCAGCAATATGCAAATGACTTCTTGGAATTGCCAGGCTGGCCCTGGTGAGTCTGGAAGATCACCTTGCCAGTGGGCTGCATGCCAGCCTGACAGGTGGCCCCCTTGCCGCCCAGCCCTGCTTTTGGCTGTCAAGTGTGTTCCCAGAGGATAACTGGCACCTCTAGGAGTGTCCAGGAGACTGGAGGGGGCAAGCACCATTGAGATGTGGTTTTCCCCCAGCTTCACCTGCAGGATGTGGAGGAAAGGCGAGGTCCCACTGTTCACATTGAAGCAAATCTCCAGGCTACAGCAGTTTTCTACAAGTCTACTCTGAAGCCTTTCCCAGAAGTGCTCAAGTGTCCTTAACAAATGAATCAGCTATTGTAAGGCTAAAAGGAGTAATGAAAAGGGAAAATCTATTTGGGGAGTTAGTTTTAGAAGCCCTGTGACCTCAATTGAAGCTTTAAGTAAATGAACTTTCACATTTTATAACTGCATGTTCCCTAAAACCATGGGGCTCCTTTCATGTATTTCTTAAAAAAGAAAAAAGCAGAAATCCTTTTTTGCAATTGCTAGAAAGTAAACACATAGCATTTCTTTCCCTTACATTAAATAAAGCTAGGGGGAAATTTAATGTTTCTGGAGTCAGCCTGTGGACTTGAGATAAGGGTTGAAGGAAAGAAGTCTTCCAAGTTAGCATAGAATCCCTTTGCAGCTATTGTACGATGAATGTAAGCTATCTGGTTACTGGACATGTTGCATAATGCATCACAATGTAAACCAATCATTTTCAATGCTGATGCTGAAGCCCTTGATAACAAGCAGAGGTGAGATAATTTGTTGATTTGGGGGAGGGGGAAGGAAGGTAGAAGGTACTCTAAAACAATGCTTCCCCAGGCTAAGTGAATCAACACTTTAGAGCGGAGATGCCTCTGGGTGCTGTCCTGTGTGCTTGGGATGATAAGAAATCTAGGAGGAAGCTAGAAAAACCACACGTCATGCCCTCTTTAAGAACTAGAAAAACTGTCAGAAGAATGAAAACCTCAGGAGAGGCAGTGGCTTCGGAAAGTCACCAGCTAGCTGATATTAACATAGCCCACAACAGAACGCTGTTGCTAGAAATAGGACTGTGACACTACTCCCAGTAGGCGATTTGCATTCTGTGGACCGGCCCCTCTGAATTCCTCCTGGCTCCTTTGCCCTTTCGGGCACAGCATTGCTGGACGCTGCCAGGCAGCATTCCCACTTGGCTGTCTGGGTTCACCAGGAACTCCACCCCAATAGAGGAAGCTGTGAGGAGAGGAACATTTGCCTTGCTTGCAGGGAAGTGGCTCTCGGCTACCAACCAATCTTCAGGCATCTAAGGCATCTCCGAGTTTTTGGGTTTCCTATGATCGCTGACCAAGAAGGGCAGACAAAGATCCTCCCGCTTTCCTCACTATGGATAATCTGTTGCCTCCATCTAAGCTCTCTTATTTCAAGAAACACCCTCTCCACGCCATTAGGAGGTATTTGGCCACGCTGCGAAGCCAGAGAGCGGAAGAACAGGTACCTTCGTGTCTGTTGTCTTTCTTGTCGTGGCTGCCCTTTCTGGGTGCTGCTTTCGCCTCCGTTAGTGGCTTGGGTCCTGCTCACTTGCTCGTGCACGGGCACGGGCAGCTCGTGCTGTTGCCTCTTTGGACTTGGCAGAGTGAAGGGCAGGCAGGCGGGCAACGAGGATTTATTTGGATTTAGAGCATTTGGATTCTGAGATTAAGGTTACATTCTGGAATGAAATCATGTGCTTTTCTTTCTTCTGAACCAATCTAGCAGAGTTAGATGGTGGGTTCCTTAGTAATTTTCGAGTGTCTTACATCTAAGTTTTGAAGCTATTTATAGCTCCACAAAGAAAGTCTCTGGCCCAAACAGTGTATTTGTCTTCTTGTGTCTCTTAATGGTTATGATATTATCATCAGGATTTACAAAATAAAGACAATTGGTAGGCCGTCACCATTTTAAACAGATTAGCAGTGAGCTATCAAAGAGCTTTCTAGAGTAGCTGGTCATCCAGGTTAGAGGGTCATTTAAAGAACAACAGTTTTCAGTCTTTTCAGCCAATCAAAAGTTAAGATTTCACTCAGGAAGCCAGCATGTGGGTTTATAAACATTTGAATAACTGTTTAAACGTCTGATTATGTGCTTAATCATGCTTTCACATTAATGCTTAGCATTCCTAACATCACGTCTTTATAATTCATGAGAAAGGCTTTTCTAAAAGTTGTTTTTGAGGATTGTGCCTGAGGTTTAGGAGAAATAGCACTGTTTGGTTTAAATCCAGTAATTCCTTGAGGAAGGAGTGTGGCAGTGGCACTCGCACGTCAAGGACAAATGTGTAATTCGTAGAACGCCTAAATACTCATCAATCTTTTGTACATTGTGCTTGTAACAAGACCTGTGAAACCATGCCGGAGATATTACCAGTGCCCCGTTTTTTTTTTCTTCTTTGTGATATGAGGTGACCCACTTCATCAAGCATTTCCAGGAAATGAAATTAAAGGTCAAGAGATCTCTAATGATGGGTTTCCCAAACAGTCCATGCATCAGCTGGAGAATGCAAGTCCTTATGACTGTTGGACAGGAAATTGATTTTCTGCTCCCCCTGCCCCCCCACCCCCCGCTTTGATGCCTTGAGAAGAGCTGCAGAGCCAAACAGAACAAGGGAGCTGGGCTGCTCCAGCTTGGCTCTCCCCTAGCTGAGCTGTCACAATTACAGAACCCCTGTCTGGTTTGCAGGGCTCAGCACGCCCTTGTTTTGAAGTGGTCAGCCAGAGGGTCATGGGGAGCGCTCTGAGCTTCTGTGTGCCGCCTGCACAAGCTTCCAGGCTGTCCCCTTCATTACGGGGTGGAGTGATCTCTATTTTCCTTTTCCCAGTATTATGAGTTCTGAGACATAGTCCTATTGCTTGTACAGCTTTGTGGGGCATTTCAAGTTTATTTTTAAAGTGGCACAAAATAAACTCATTCTGGTTTTTAACTTGCAACCTCTGACTTGGACTGGGTGGCCACCTACACCCGCCCATGCCCCTTCTATGAACAAATCTGTGGCTTGACCTGGGAGCAGCTGGGAGCTGGCATTGCAGCTGGGAGCTGGCATCACGCTGAGCTCTTAATGTCCCATGTAAATAAGTGGAGAAATAAAGAAAAAGAGCCTAGTGGATTCCTTTCTAAAGCCAATTACAGCTCTGCAGACCTACTGTCTTTTTGTCGTAATTAGAGAAATTAGGTCAGAGTCAATCACGGCTAACCTTGGAAGGCTTGTTGGAAAATTATAAAGAGGCTAATAGTGCTTACGGTTTCACAGCCTGCCCATTTGTTGTCTCTAATCCTGACATTCCTGTAAAACACACCCTCATTACAAAGTGCAGGACTGAGGTTTAGATACCAAGAGACCTTGCTGAGGCCACCCAGCTGGAAGTGCTGAGGGAAGAAATGAAAGTCTATGCCAGGGCTTTAAACTTTTCTTCACTTGCTCATGCTCCAGCCTTCCCACAGCGTAGTGACAGCAGTGCATCAAGCTGTTACCTTATTACCCCGTTGTCATCTTTTCCTAAGTGTGTACAACCTACAGAGCTAACTCCTTAATATTTTCTACCTTTGTTTTGCATCATTCTTACTAAACTTGTTTGTTTAGAAAGGTTCCCAACACTGCTGTAAATGGAAAACCACTGTCATTTGCCAGCTGTAGAAGAATAATAAAAGCATGCTAACATTAAATCCTGGCTATCTATTATCAGCTGTAAAACCAGAAACTGAAAGTTGTTTCTTTGTTGAGAAGGAAAATCTGACTGAAGTGTTTAGAACGTTGTAGTAGCGAACCGAGGAGCTAGGCGGCATGAGGATAGGAAGGCTTTCAAGGGCGTGTGTCCTAAATAATCCCCAGTGATGTTTGTAATACCAAGTGAGTCCTTGTCATTGAACCTTAGCATCTCTCACCCCGCTGGCACCGCTGGCACCACCCAGCATCAGCACTGAGGAGTTTCTTAGGCTTGCCAGTTGCTCCTCCACCTCTGTGCATTGCTCCCTCCTGCCCCGTTCCATTCTTCACCTACGCTGTGCCCATCTGGAACGCTCCCACATCTCTAGACTCCATGAAAAGGTTTTCTCCAGCTCTGTTGCAAAGAGTGAAGAAAGCCCCATGTCCAATTCTGCTTCTCCCCAACTTTCTCCACCAACCAAGAGCAAAGCTCAAACCAGAAAGTCAGAGTTGACCTTCCCATTGCCTTTCCTCATCCCTCCCCTTGCCCATCTCTGCTTCCATGGCAACGACGGAGTGTCTCAATGTGCCCTGCACACCTTGCTCTGGCATGCCCTGTTGCTGGACTGCTACCGTAGCCTTCCAGCCTGTGTCTCTCCCTTCACCTTTGTCATCCTATACTCTGTGTTGCTTACGGAAATCAGAGTTTTCTTTAAAGGAAAACCTTATTTTACCCCAATATAGGGAGCATGCTTATTCTTTTTAAAATTAATTTCTTTCTTTTAAAATTTATTAGCATTTTATGATACAGTTTCATAGATCCTGGGATTTCCCTTATCCCCTCCTAATTCCCCTCACCCCGAGTTCCCCATATTATTACTATAGTATAGTTCTTCTTAAACAGTCACAGGTCCATCACTGCGGGCATGGACAATGACAGAGAGACCAACATCCTATTGTCAAGATATAGTTAACAGTTTCATTGGGAGTCCATCTTTGTCTGAAAGTAAAGATGCATATTGCATTGTATCCTCACATCTGGATATGTGAGTCTCCATTACACAGTTATTATACATCCCCTTAAATGAAAAGCCACAACACAAAACCCACAACAGGAAGAAAAATGGAAATTTACAATGCCATGATGTTAAATAACATGCTACTAGATAAGATAGTCTCCACTACACAGGTGCTATCTGTCAAGCATGCTTATTCTTGTTGCCTCAATGTCAACTATACATACAACACATAGTAATACATTTATGTAATTAAATAAATGAGGGGTACTTCATAATCACTAGAGAAACTGTGTAGCCAGGAGGTTTCAGAGGACTAACACATTCTTTTGCAGGTGAGAACAAGAGATAGTGAATATTTGGATTAATTTCCTTACTCAGCAGAAGTTGATGAAATCTCTGGGGAATGGGGTGGGCGATAGGCCCTTTCAAGTGTGGAACTGCTGTCAGAAAGTAAGAGATTTGCCCGAGGTAGCACATTTCATTTGTGTCAGAGTCAGGATTCGCGTGAACTTGCTTGGCGCTCAGCTCAGTGCTCTTCCCACGAGACTCCTTCGGTCTGCGAGCAGAGCTGTAGCCAAGGCTCCAGGGATCGGCCATCAAGAGCAAAGGTCTCTACAGAGAAGAGCCACCCGCCTGCTCTGGGCCCTGTCCCTCAATTGCTGGTGCCCTGTAGCAGCCTCAACCAGTCGAACCCCTCCTTCTGCATGACCCTGCAGAAAGAAGGCAGGTGAATGATCAGAAAAAGCGCAGACTGGATCCATTCCTAGGGGAAAATTTGGGTGCTCTGTGCCAAGAGTCAAGAGAATCTTCTTGTGTAGCATCAAAGGAGCTGACCTGCCAAGTCTGTCTGTCTGGCAGGAAAGCTGCTTAAAATGAGGAGAGGGTGCTCAGAAACCACACGGCATGGCCTGCAGCTACATTTTAATTATGGATTAGATTTAAATTTTGTTTTGGAAGCTTTTCCAAAGTTCCTCTTCAATGGTTTAAGAAAATAATTCTCGTTTGAACAGGATCACTGAATTTTTATTTCCGGCTTTGTTTCTTAATAATTGTTAATCTCAAAAGTTGGGTTGCTCAATAAATGTCTGAGTGTCATTTGAACTTAAGAAACTTAGTTCTTCGTTTCGGCGTTTATCGCTGCTCTGAATAGCACTATGAAATTAAAGGTCCGCCTAACCCCTCCCTGCCAAACAAGAAAAGCCAAGTTGAGATTTAGACACTTATGTGTGGATTTAGGCTTGGCGATATAGGTTATGTATCCTCAGGTGAAAAAATGGGCATTTCACTACAGCTTGGTACAAGAAATATTACATTGATAGCTCCCTATCCGGAGTTGGCTATATCTTTTTAAAATATTTATTTTATTTTTATTGCAAAGTCAGATATATAGAGAGGAGGAGAGACAGAAAGGAAATTTTTCCATCCATTGATTCACTCCCCAAGTGGCTGCAACAGCCAGAGCTGGGCCAGTCTGAAGCCAGGAGTCTTTTCCTGGTCTCCCACACAGATGCAGGGTCCTGAGGCTTTGGGCCGTCCTCGACTGCTTTTCCAGGCTACAAGCAGGAAGCTGGCTGGGAAGTGGATTAGCCAGGATTAGAACCAGCACTCATATAAGATCCCAGCAGCTACAAGGTGAGGACTTTTTAATTTCCTTACAAATTTTTTTTAAGTATTATTTTTATTTTTGATGATGTTTACAGATTTGATTAGGGTGATTAGGGTCAAGGGCTACAGGAAGGTGGGTGAGATCACCATTTCCACATTCTCTTTTCCTTCCTGTATTTGGGTAAGGGGGGAGAAAAGGGGAGCAGCTATACTCAGCCTTCCAAATGCCTCTGCGCCTTGGGATGGAGGACAGCCACCCAACACCACCCCAGGGTCCCCGAGGAAGGCGAGGACTTCAGCCGCTAGACTATCATGCTGGGCCCTTTAAAAGTCTTTAAAGTCATGAGCTCCTCCTGAGAGTTCACATGGTATCTGAGTGGAAACTGAAGAATATTTGCCCTGTGTCAATGTGCTGGGTGGACTGGAAGGAAAAGATGATCCATGAGGAATGTAAGACACCAGGGGAGGGATTGCACACCTCGCCCGTGGAGGCGTTTGCATGATTATACAGCAGTAATCTTGACAGTTCACTTGCTGTGATAATATGAAGCTGATTCTTAATATTTCTATGATTATAACATTAAGAGTTGAATTCTTTTATCCTGGTAATTACTACAGATTCCTCTACTTGAGGGGAGAAATATTTTAAAAGCTATGTATTTATCAAAAAAAAAAAAAAAGCAACCACTGGTGGCATTCCCTAAAAGATTCCAGGAGGTTATCATTGATAGTTTACATGGTTCATGGCTTATTGGGCCGTTCGCGCCGGTACCCAAACCTGTCTCTAGGAAAAGAGCAGCGCTGCCGCCCATCCTGCTTCTCAGACAGAGAGAATTCTAGCAGTGTTCCTGGGTGCTTCCATGCCATCAGGCAGTCCGCCCAGTCGCCACGTCCATCTCCTCCTCTGCTCCCAACCTAGCGTAGGAAGCCACTGTGCCTTTCTGTCCGAGGTGCTGGGACAGCCTCCTGCTGTTCTCCCTGCACCCACCCCACAGCACAGAGGTCTCTGGAAAGACACACCTGACCACACTGCTGCCTGGCTGCATGCTGACCAGTGTGAGCTGGCTTCCACTTGCTTCCTGGGATCTCGCTGGGACTCCCTGGCCTGCTGTGCGTTGTTCTTCTCCCTGTGCCTTCTTCTGTTCCCTCCTCCTGCCATGCTGTTTCCAGCCCAGGGCCTTTGTTCCAATTTCCCCTCTTTGTCCTGTCTCTGGCAAGATCTACTTCTTCAGATTTTAATTTTGTGTCAGTTCTTTTTGGGCAAATTTTCCTGACTTTTCCCTTCTTGGTCCTGTCTCTGATTATGTACTTTGAGGACACCTCTGCTACTCCTTTGCTATACTTATTCTAGTAGCAGTTTTGCATCCATTTGTGGGGCTAACAAAATGCTGATCAGATGGAAGTTTGTGAATGGGAGAGAAAGGATTAGAATGAATTCCACCCCCGGGATAGAAATGCTTGAAAGAATACAGCCAGCTAGACTAGCCTCTGCAAAGAAGAGACTTGGGTTATGGTCATTTTTATGTTTCTTAAGAATCACAGTGTTCCTATGTCCAGAAATAGAAGGATGCATCTGGGAGATTCCAGGGTAAGTCACCGTGACTGAGTAGAATTGTGACCTGCTTTCTGATAGTTATTAGCAGGAAAATGTGCTGTCTGGAAATGAGAGGCGAAGGAAAAGATGAATGTTCTGCAGAGTCCAGGGGGAACATGACCCCTCCCCTGCCCTGCCTCCAGGGAGGTAGTGGCAATGGCTCCTGTGTGGCAAAAGGGAAGTCCCTTCCTACCCTGAGATCCTGCCCAGTGGGCAGTGGAAAGATAGACAGTTTAGACACCTTAGGAAAAAGAGTGGTCACAGTTAGACCCCACCTGCTTTGTTCTGAGTGGTCCACAATCTAAGCCTGACTGACACTCTAGAATCTAAGACTGAAGGAGACAGAATCAAGCATCTTGGGAGACGCAGGGAGTGTGTAATCCTCTGGCAAGAACAGGCAACACAGCTCCTTCCAGTAAAGGCCTCAGGTGCAAAGCTGATGTGCAGAGCCTGGCTTCTCGGAGCCTGATCGGCCATGCGACTCCCTAGTTCCACCGTCTTACAGGTTTTATGCTCCCCTCCAGGATCAGGATCAATAACCAAGTGTACTTTACGTAGTCATTGAAGGATAGGGGCAATAAACATGGCACGTTATTTTGTGATATTTTAACCACTGTGTTTAGCATTGTGCTTTTCATATCAAACTTCGGGTACTTTCGAATCCCCTGCACATCCTTGCTGTTAATGCTGCAACATTACTGTTGGTTATGATTCCAGTGGAGAGTGTTGAATCCTTCTTGTCCATATCGTCACAGCTGGGGAGCGTCAGACATGGCCGGGTGGTAGCTGGCCTCTTGGTTCGCTTCTGAGCAATTTCTGATTTTCTCATATACTTTTGAATTGTCCTAGTGTACTGTGCTTAAATGCCTTTGTGAAACAGGCATACTCACTCAAGTGCAAAACCCTTTTTTCCTATGAAATGCATTGTTGCTTTTAATGCAGGTTCCTAAATTTGCTATCCACACAATTTTTTAGACAGCTCATCGACAACACTTTAGTTGCTAACTTTTGTTCAGAATGGAAGATGACATATTTTCACACCTTGTACAGACAGCTCTACATCTGACAGAAAAAGAAATGAACTTCTCGCATATGTTGTACAGCTCATAAGTTGCTGTAAAGAGAGCAGAAAAGCACTGAAATTATTTCTTTCTTGCTCATCCTAGGGAAACATATTAATAAAGTTATTTTAGGAAATACAAATTGGAAAATATGCTGAAGAATATGGAATTTTAAAATTTTATTAAATGTCTTACATGTGCCAGACACTTGACAATGTCCTTTAACATCTAATGTTATCTAATTCACATAATAATTTTGCAAAGCTGATGGTATCATATCCATTTTATAGGTGAGAGAACTGAAGTTTAATGAGGTTAAAGAAGTTGACTCCTAGCTTGTAAGCAACAACTGAGCTTTGAGCTCTGTTTTTTCTATTTGGCAACAAAGCCTGCTTCATTTCCTCCCACAGATACCCTATACATAGGGATGCTTTCTCTTCTTTGTACTACTTCTTTCTGTTTTAATATTTATTTTGTTGGAAATGGAGATTTACAGAGAGGAGAGACATAGAGAAAGATCTTCCATCCACTGGTTCACTCTCAAGGTGGGTACAATGGCCAGAGCTGAGGCAATCCAAAACCAGGAGCCAGGAGCTTCCTCTGAGTCTCCTACACAGGTGCAGGGTCCCAAGGCCTTGGGTCATTCTCAACTGCTTTCCCAGGCCACAAGAAGGAGCTGGATGGGAAGTGGAGCAGCCAGGATTAGAATCAGCGCCCATATGGGATCCCGGCACATGCAAGGTGAGGACGTTAGCCACTGAGCCGCTATTGCAGGTCCCTCACTACTACTTTTCCAGTTTTCTTTCATTGACATTAGAATTTCTTTCATTTATTAAGGATACAGATTAAGAAGAACAATAACTGTTGTGTTGGGAAGACACCTCAAAGGCTGAGAAGTCCCTTTACAAGCAGAGACTCAGGAAAGTGAGCCAAGGCTATTGTTGTCTGGGAGCCTGGGGAGTGGGGAGAGGGTGAGAGCCTGAGGGCCCAGCTCCTAGCCAGGACGTTGGCCCTCCCTCTCTGTTGCTGTCTCCCCCCTGCCCCTCACCCCCTAGCCCTCTCTCTCTCTCTTGCTAAGCCCCGCTCCTTGGCCCTCCCTTGATCTTGGCCGCCAACTCTCTCATCCCTCCACTTTGCTGCCTTTCATTCTCTTTGGTTTTCAGCATATTAATGATACTTGCCCATGCTGATGAAAGTGGGCGATTCAAATAACCTCACACACAAAGCAGGAAATAAGGTTTTAACAGCTATCTAGCCTCCTTTAATCCACTTAAAGTGACACCTGAAACTAACCATCATGAAATGACAAAAATTAGATCCCAAGGGAGTCGCTTCTTGGCCTTTTGGCTAAGATCAAGTGTAGATCCAAAGTAAATTACAAATGTGTTTTCAGTCATCAACAGACAGACCACTGGAATCTATTCTCCTCACATTTTGGATGCTATACGCT